TTTATTTTTGGGTGATGAAAGAAACTCGCAGTCACTCTGTGTCATTTGGTAAACTTTACACTTGTGGGGTGTTAGTAAGAATTAAACTCGTGAGTTGTTACCAATTTTTATTTGTTTGATTAATTATTGAGAACATGTTAAAATTGATTTGGGTCAAATTAATAACTTATCAAACTATTCAGATACAATAATTATATTTCACTGACTCTATATATATTTATAAGTTGATTAAGCATATAACATCTTGATATAGGGACCATGATCCACATTGGAATTGAACTATTGATAAATGGTCATTTTTGATGTATTAAAGATTCATTTTTAAATTTGAAGTAGTATATAAAAATTAACATGCAATACACTAAAAATAAATTTTTAGAATATAAAAAAAATTCAATAAATTAAAAATAAACATATATGCCAAGCGATTCACATTGCAATATAGATTATAGTTCATGATACAATGATTGTTTTATATATTGTACAATAGAAACTCACAAATTATATTGTGGACCATGGTCTACAATGCAATATGAACAATTGATAAATGCCCATTTTTAATAGGGAAAATGAGTCAAATATACCATCGAATTTTACCTAAAAATTTAATAAGGCCCCTAAACATTTAAAGGTTACAATTAAATTCATCAACATTGTATTTTTGGTGCAATGAAATTAAAAATTGGTTAGTGAGATCACTAGAGTTCCGACAACGCTTCAGCACAAATTCCAACATGAAAACGATTGGCGACCTATGAACAGTTGCCCGTGGCCATTAAAGCGGAGAAGGAAGGCGACTCCGCTTCAATGGCAAACCGACGACTGTTCGTTGGTCACTAGTTGTTTTCTTATCAGAATTTGCGTTGGAGTGTTGCCAGAGGTTACTGGAACTTTAGTGACTTGTTATTACAATCCACTAATTGTTTTTTTTAGGTTTTATTACACCAAAATACAATGTTGATGGGTTTAATTTCAACTTTAAAATATTTAGGGGCCTAATTGATTTTTTAGGTGAAGTTCGAGAACTTATTTGACTCTTTTCCCTTTTTAATATACTACGTGCTCACTATAAGGTATTGAAAATTCATTTTTAAGTATGTTACTTAAAAATGAACCTTCAAATAACCTAAAAATGAACATTTAGTATATTAAAAATAAATTTTTTAAAAGTGGATGTTCAATTTATTAAAAATGAATCTTAATGTTAGTATTCCATCTTACAAGGTATATCATGATCTGCCCGCATGAATAACGCAAACTATATCGTGCACCGCGGATCAAAACGACGTCGTATACATTGCAGTGTCAATTTAACACAATTACAGTTTCACTTTGATATAACTACAGTTTCATTCGATATTTATAGACTCAAATATGTGAGAATGTTATTTAACTTTATTTTATATACACTATAGTTTTATTAAAACACAACTACATTATCATTTTGATATAATTACAGCTTCATTGTACAATATACACTCAAATATGTGAAATGTTATTCAGTTTCATTTTATATACACTGCAGTTTCACTTCACCACAACTACAGTATCATTTTGATATAACTGCAGTTTCATTTGTCGTGAGGCAGTGTCGGTTTAAATATACTGTAGTATCAGTTGGTGTTTAATACACCAAATATGTGATCTCCGTTAACGGAAACGGCGCCGTTTTTTACCGTGGTGCATGTGCACCGCAATCTACGATATAACGACTGCATGAATAACTCAACTAATCATAGAGATAAAATTTGTGACATGAGAGATAAATTTGGACCTGTATGTTATGTGCGGACCCTGATCCATGGTATAACAATTGCTTTAAAAAGCATTTAATTGATAATGGGCCTACAGTACAAAAGGCCCAAAAGTACGGAGTTTGTGCGAATGGTTTTTCATGATGGAGCGGATGTTAGAGCGACGGGATCTGCGTGTAATAATTGGCAAACCCATTGTTCCGCCGCCATGAATTTGACCGGCCCAGCAGGCGTCTCAGCCAAAACTCTCACCGGTTTCTCAGCAAAATTGCCCATTTCCGCCACTAAATCCGAACTCCGATCGCACGAAATCTTTCACTTCTCTCCCTCCAACCAATTTCACCATCTCTGTAACAACCTCATAGTTCCCTCCGCATCCAGGAAGCCCTTCGCGCTCTCCTCTCGTCTCCACCCTCCGGAACTTCCAACACTCTCCGACGTCTGTAGAACAAAAATGGGGAGGTTGATTGGTGAGTGTCCTCGTAGGCAAACCCTAGCTTTAATTGCGGCTCTGATGGGAGTCTTGCTGATGGGAAATGGTCCTGAAAGAGCCCTAGCGGCCAATTCTCCGTCTGCTTTCGTTCAGAACGTCATTTACTCCAACAAAATCGCTATCTTCTCCAAATCTTACTGCCCGTAAGTCCATCGTTTCTCTTATTGCCCAATTCGTTGACTTATCTGCAGTTTCTGTTAATTCGAAATTGAGGTCATTGATGGCCGGAATTTGGCTGTAGTTTCACTAGTTTGGTGCTTCGGTATCTACTTTAATCGACTACTTACTAAAGTTCATTACTTATCAATCATGAATGTAATATTCATTAAAAAAAATATGTAAATGATAATTTGCCATCAACTACGAATTCAACGAAGTAAGCAATAATCACTAAAAATCTTTTAATTGAAAAATAGCAGAAAGAGTTAATTTCGTATTTAGTCTTCACTCATTTCCAATTTTAGTCTTGGACTTTTAAGTTTTAAAGCTAAGGAATTTAGTCTTGAGTATTAGAAACAATTGGCACCATGGCCATGACTTTCTAATTTGAAAAGCTAACGGTGGATTACAATTAGAAATGATTCAATACTTAAAGAATTAAATTTGATAGTTTTAGAAGTCAATGACTAAAATTGAAAATGAGTGTAGTCAGGACTAAATCCGGAATTAACTTTAACAAAAATAACCATAAACATTCTTTTTTATATAAGTTATATGCAATATTAGTTGCAATTATGGAAAGGTCACAATTTGTTTGAGATTCCAATTCTTAACTTTGTGTTTTCTTTTATGAGTATGCTTGTTGTTTCTATAATCTTAGGAATCATGTTAGTCAGCACTGGGTGCAATGTAAGCCAGGGCATCCATTTAGTTGCCTGGAGTACATAATAATGTTCTAGATGTTCTCAAACTATATTTAAGCTTATCACCTTTCTATATGATTTTATGACAGAATATTTTACAAGGTCCCTACTTTTAGTGTGTAGATGGTATTTAATGCTTAGAGTTCTTGTTTTGATGTTGAGATAACTCTGCTTGCCAATTGATGTTTAGAATTCTTTCTAAAACCAAGATGTTATTTTGAGAATGGGTGACACCGATTTAAAATCTGACAGAAGGCATCAGCAACGAGCTCTTTTCTTAGTATTCTTAAGTTGTTGATTACATAAGATGATAAGAATTAAGGTTTCATGTTGTTCTAAACTACCATGGTTGTTATTATCTGCTGCCACATAGTTATGCAAAATTTGATATGGATTACCATCTGCTACAAAATTATTTGTTTGAATTACTATTAAGCTGTTGGCTTGGTAACCACAAGGTTTTCAAGTTTGACCCCAGTGGGGGTGGCCTATTGACCTTCTTGGTTTGAGCCGGTCAACCTAGGCTGGTTTATCTCCTTGTGGTCCTTTGTTATCTATAGTCACAAGGTGGGGTTTACCTAGTGCTCACCCTCGGATAGTGGTTGCGGATTTCCCTCGTCACTCAAAAAATTAGCACTAATTCATTGCTATAGAAACTTGAACTTGGAAAAATGCAGCCAAAATTGAGAAGATTGTAATTCTCTTTACTCTTCACCTATGCTTAATCTCTACATGGATTTCAAACCTAGGTATTCCGTGCGTGCAAAGCACGTATTTGAAGAACTAAAAGAGAAACCTTTTGTTGTGGAGCTGGATCTTCGAGGTATTTCATCCTTGTGCCCTTCTTTTTTCAAGATGGAGGAAAACAAGGGAACTAAAGATTGAAATTACTACCAATGTGCATTTATTACAATTTGTACTGGCTTGTGATGGTTTTGTTGGGCATATACAGACGATGGGCACCGCATTCAAGATGTCCTTCTAGATCTGGTGGGCCGCAGGACAGTCCCACAAGTATTTGTGAATGGGAAACACATTGGTGGATCTGATGGTGAGCCTTAAATTTTCAATTATTTGTCTGCTACTACTGGTTTCTGCTATCTGTATAACTAATTTCCCCCACCACTTTTTCTGTATTCACATGAAAATTAGATCTCTACAGTGCTGTAAAAAATGGGCAACTGGGAACTCTTCTTGCCAAAGAATAACTCCAAAGGATGATGCTGAGAGATTGATTATAGCGTCGCAACTGAAGTGGCTGCCCGCAGCATGCCTGGAAGACTGAACTAAATTTTGTAGGACAATCTTGTTCTTGGCTGGCCTATTTCAACTGTTTAGGTTGTACCCATGTCAATCTGAGGTTGGATACATTTGTAATAATAATAGTGACTATTTTGTATTTCAATTAGTGAAAATTTAAATTTGATTGCATGGTTGCATATAATGACAACTTTCTATTGCTTCGTGTTACATATCCAAATTGTTTAGGATGTTGGCTTGGTAGCCTTCTTGGTTTGAACGGGTTAATTATGGACAATTTAGGTTAGTTTACCTCCTTGTGGTCCTTTGTCGGTTAGGGTCACAATGCGAGTTTTATCCAGTACACACTCTCTGATTCTGGTTACGAGTATCACTCGTCATCCAAACTTTTCAGGCTAAGGTTATTTCCTTGTGGTCCTTTGTCGGCTAGAGTCACAAGGTGGAGTTTACCTAATGCACATCCTCGCGTAATGACTGCGAGTTTCTCGTCATCCAAATTGTTCAGCTTTGGTTTTGTATATATCATCAGAATTTTAAGAAAATGTTACACTGATAAACTAATGGCAAAAGATTTTACAGTCTTGGAACTTCATATATGGATTTGGCAGAAAGGAGATATGACAAATGAGGTGTAAAAACTCCAATAGCCATTTCATCAGGATAGATCTTTGTTTACAGTAAGGTAATAAGTAACCAAAAGGACAGTAATTGACCTCACTGTAACAACCCTAATGAATCTACCAAGAAGCTGATGTCTCCATAGCGCGAAAATACTATGATTATCTCGAATCTGTGTTTAAATCAGGTTGAAGCTGTATATGTTTCTGGTCTCCATTCGGTTTTCTGAGCACTAAGCATTCCATCTTGTTTTTGGTAGAAGGTCATCCGAACCTCCCAATGCAACGACTTGAGCAACTCCTCTACTTCCCTAATCGTTCCAGAGTCGTCTTGCACGATCAATTTGCCCCCGGGTCTAACTATTCTGTCAACCTCTGCCACGACAGCAGTAATCTTGCACCTGCAGGAGGTATTGTAAGTAGTTATGATCTTCTGTGTAATAAGAAAAAAGTGGTTAATTGCGTGACTTCTACCTTGTTTTCAGCCTCGAGAAGAGATGATCTGCATGCAGGAGATCGTATGATCTTGGGTAGGTGCTGAAGGATTCACACCAGTCATGGTACATTCCAAAGAGGCCTCGCTCATAGATGATTGGAAGCGTGTCTGGAGAGTCTATGTTCACCACATTCATCACCCACACTTTGAGGTCCTTCAGTGCCGCTGCAAATCTGTAAGTAAACATTAAGGGGGCGTTTACTTCTGTTCTCTGTTTTCTGTTTTCTGTTTTCTGTTCTCTGTTTTCGAAAATTGAAATTGAAAACTTGTTTACCAGTACTTCATCAATGAATGAATGTTGTTTATAGTGTTTTTACCCCCCATAAACTGCTCTCATGTCCATGATGTTTCTGACAGTGGACCAGTTAATGCCCAATCCGCTCATGTACGACCTGCTGACGACGTGTTTCCAGTGCTCATAATCGGCTGCAAAGTCCTCGGGAGCTGGTTTTCCATATATCCCCACCTGAGACCTGTTTAGCCAATACGGTGGTGTTTGAAGTCTCTCCGGCCATTCCTTAGGCCACTTTGATCCTCTCTGCGTCTCGTCTGTTTGGACTCTGTGCATGCATGATTGCAGAGGTACATACCTGAAAAAAAGTACATTCCAATCATAGAAATCTCTGAAATAAGTTGGAATTGTAACTTCAATTCACTGCTTCTGAGCTTACCATGCAGCGTTAGGATCATCATTCTTTTTACACATTGGAGGCTTTTTGCTTTTCCTTTGATTGTAGCAATCGTTCGAGACTGGTTTGTGATAGATAGCTGCACCAATCGAGTTTAGTTTGTCCTTCTTGATGGCAACAAGCTCCCAGCACATCGACACTGTTAGAGCAGACATTGCTGGATGGGAAGAAATCAAGAAAGTGTCATTTTTCCCAGACAGAATCAAGAAAAAAAGGGTGAGATTTAACTTTTAAGTCCTCCTACCTTTCCAAATCTTCACATCTTCTGGGAGTTTTTGGTACACTGGAGTTGCAGACCAGATAAAGTAGCCTCCAGGGCGAAGAACTCGATTCAGTTCCAGAAGAAGCTTTCCACCTTCATCCATCCCGGATTTAACATGTTAGAACAGCATTCAGATAAGTTTGATCTGAAAGTTAATTCAGAATATATAGAGAGGGGATCGAGAAACTAACCTTGAATTTGCCAAGGGACTCTGCAGCGCGCACAATGCACAACATCAAAGACTCCGCTTGGGAATGGCAGCCTTTGGGTGCCCATAACAGCAGATATTGCAGGAATTCCCCTTTCCAGTGCGAACTGAATTTGAGCTTCGTGTTCATCTTTAGGCGCAAAGGACATCGCCAGAACATCTCTATCAAATAGGTAGCCACCAAAGCTAGCAACTCCACAGCCAACATCCAAGACTACTCTGGTATGTTTTCCCCATGCAATATTAGGAACTGCCTACACCCATTATTCATATCACAAAATTAGACTCTCGGTGGGAGCGGCCTATTGGCCTTCTTGGTTTGAACCGATCTGGTTTACCTTCTTGTGGCTGGGTAGGATCACAAGACGGAATTTACCCAGTGCACACCCTCGCACTGTTGTAAAAATCGGCCTAGGCAGCACCTAGGAGCTAGGCGCCCCTAGGCCGTTCCGCTTTCACTATTAGGCGCCCAAAAATCGGCTGGGCGCCTAGGCGGCAAAATCGGCCTAGTCGGTTGATTTTGTCCGATTTTTACTGATTTCATCCGATTTTGACCAATGTCGTCTGGTCCAGCCCTACGTGTACTAGTTTGATATTTTGAATATTTGGATAATTGAAATATTTGAGTATTTCATATTTGAATATTTTTATTTTTTAATATTGTTTTTGATGTTATGACCTATTAATTATCATTATTTCATTTATTTGAATGTGTTATTTAATTGAATGTTGAAAACAACTTCATTAAAATTGTCAAAGTGCAAGTCTGCCACTATTTTTTTGACGCCCGCCTAGATTCATTCCGCCTAGGTGCCAGGCGCTAGCCGCCCCCAGACTAGCTCCTAGTGCCTACTGCAACCATGCCCTTATGGGATGGCTGTGGGTTTCCTTCATCACCAAAAAAAAAAAAAAAAAAATTGGAGGTGATAAAGCTAGCTTACCTGTTGGAGAAAATCAATGTAATGTAAGGCTCCATGGATGAACTGAGTACCACCACCTGGAAAAACAAGGAATTCTCCAGAAACTTTCACCCAATTTTGGTGCCCCTTCACCTCTGCCAATAATGTGTTTGGCACATTGTGATACCATATCTGCACCATTACACATAACTGTTAAGAGTGAGTCCACATTGAAAACCAAGAGAAACATATATCATATATACCTTCTCTCTGCTTTTAGGCCATTCAATTGGTCTCTTGTACCCTTTTGGTAGCTGGACAAGACATGTCGGAGGCTCCTCGGGGCAATGGCGTTCGCGATGCTCGAAATGTCTCCTGGTTCTTAGCTTGTGTAAGGCAGGCTCATTATCCAAACATGGTATGTAATCTTGACCGGCCGTCACATTGCACAGTTGCCAATTCGGGCTTGGGATAATATTGTTTTCTTGTTCATCTGTTGTCTTTGTCCTTTCTTTCTGGCTCACAGATTGAACAGCTTGAGTCGACCAGGCCTTCTTTGAATCCTTAGACTCCGATGGAATCTGGGGCGAGGTTTTCCTAGCTGGAACTGAATCAATTTGAGCTTTTTCTTGATTTGAATCAGTTGAGGAGGAGGAGGAGAAAGAAGGGTGAGTTTTGAGAGTGTCTTCGTCTCCAGATACTGTTGCCTCATCGTGTTGGATTTGATCTTCGCTTGTTATGCCTTGAGATTCGTGTTCCGGGTGCCTTTTTGGCTGGACTTGATCGTCTTCCTGTTGCTGCTGCTGTTCTAGTCTTTTCTGTTGATCTTCATCGGAGATCATGTTTTTGGTCGGGTCTAAAGTGTCTTGGCTGTCGGTTTGTGGATCATGAACCTTAATTTCGTCAGTTTCCGGCTGCTGGGTATCATTTGGTGTTGTTGTTTGGTCGGATTCCGTGTTTTGCGCGGCGATGGAGCTCTCCTCGACGGCCGCCGTTTGAGTCTCCACTTCTTTCTGCCGTTTCTCTTGCTCGGATTCCTCTGCGCCGTCCCCTTTCGCTCTCCCGCTCTGCTTCTCCTCCACCACCGCCACCACGTCTTCTATTTCCGGTTTCTTAATACTACTACTCTCCAAATCGCCGGTCTCTTGGTCGGCGGCGGCCGCGGCCGCCGCCTCCTTGTTCCGACGGTCGTCGTTTTCCGTCTCAAGATCCTTCACGTCGTCGCTATCGCGGTCCGTTGCCTTGATGGCGTCGTCCGGGAGGTCGCCCGGGTGGTCCTCGAACGACGACGCCTCCTTATTAGGATCTGTGGCGGTCGAGCTGGCGCCACCTGACGAGGCGGTGGCTCTGGCGGTTGTTTTCGGCGGAACCACCGCGGTGGAGGCGGAGGAGGAGGAGGAAGAGAGTATCCATACACCGAAGAGACACAAAGCTACAAAGGCGATGGGAGTGATAGTGGAGGAGTAGGACGTAGTGGACGCTCTTCTTCCGACGCCGCCACGGACCTTTCCTAAGGCCATGCTAGCGAGTAATCGAGCGAGCTTGGAGCAATGGCGTTAATGGAGGTGGAAGGGATTTGGGATTGGGCTGTGGAAGAAGACAGAAGAGAAGTAATGTAGGAAATAAGAATTGTAAGATCCACGAGAATAGGACTAGGAATTAGGAAACTTGCTTTTTTGTTTGTTTTTAACTAACAACGGTTTGCTACTTTGTTCTTCTTTCTGTTATTCCGTTACTTATTTCTTCCCGCGGTTTTCTACTAGAGCTCATATTACGGAGTATATTATTCGGTGTTTATTTTTGTCAGGGTTCTCGTAACAAGATGGATATAAGATATAAATTTATTTTTAGTGTATCACATATTCACTTTTGACTTGTAATTCACTAAAATAAACTCAATACACTTATAATAAACCTACTAAAAAAACATATACTCCATAGTACATTAAAAATAAACTTGCAGTATATTTACTAGGTGCACAATATAATTTATTGATATGATTGGAGTAACTTTGTCACAATTTTTTAAAGATCTATCTATTTGTTACTCTATATATATATATATATATATAAAACATCTAGAATCACATACTTAATTCAAAAACTTATGAATAAGCTTCTTAAAATAGTGTCTGACTCTCCCAAATGAAGGTTATAAATTCAAACTCTAATGGGACGTGATTATAACAGAGTCAATAGTACTAAAAAAAAAAAAAAAACTCTTAAAATAGTCCTACTATTAAAAAAAAAAACTCATTGTCCAATGGCTCTTACAAGTTACAATTTGATGTTAAACATTACATTAACATTTTTGTAAAATGTGATATATAAAAGGCAAATCCGTAAATAACTCTAAGGTGTATAAAACGAGTTGGAACCGTTGCAAAGAAAGCTAAGCGTAACAGGATTGTTTGATCGGTGTGAAGAAATCGCCGAGGAGAGGAGAGAAGAAGAAAATGGCGGAGGAGGGACAAGTCATCAGCTGCCACACCGTTGAGGCCTGGAACGAGCAACTCCAGAAGGGCAACGGTTGCAATAAACTGGTCTTTTTGCTGCCTTCTACCTGCTATATTTCCCTCGTTTATATCAACGTTTTTTTTTTTTTTTTGGATTTTGATTATCTTTTTGGTGGATCAGATATTTTATGTTTTATGATTCAGATTTTTGTCCTTCGTGATGATCGTTTACGTGACTGTTATGTGAATTGCTTTCAAATCAGCCTGTGTTGATTTGAAAAACGTCTTTATTTCCGATGATTATATTTATATATAGTGTTCTTGTGAATCTCTTTTCTATCTGAATCTCATCTCGTGATAGTATTGTTTTAGTTATTTACTCTTTTGTAGCCTGTATTTATTTGCTTGCTTAGGTGGTTGAGAACTGAGACGATGTTTGTTAATTTGTCACTGTTGTAAATAGGAAGAACATTGGATTAGGATCAATCACTTCTTATGGTAATGGAAGATATTGATCTAATTAACCTCTTAAATCGCATCAGAGCATTTAGTTGTTTCATATGTGATGATTGTGCGGCATAAATGCTCATACTTCCTCTTGACTGCAAGTTTTCAGAAAACAAAAATACTTTTGTCTGTTTTATATTCCCCCTTTTTACTTCAATTTGCTCATATATATGGCTGTTATTGCAGATGGTTATTGACTTCACTGCTTCTTGGTGTGGTCCTTGTCGAACCATTGCTCCGTTCTTGGCAGAGTTGGCTAAGAAGCTACCTAATGTTATCTTCGTCAAGGTGGATGTGGATGAACTTAATGTAAGACAAAACTATAATGCACATGTAAACTTAGAACTTATCTTGTTAGTGTTTATGGTTTGTTTCCTTTCTGCAGACAATTGCTAGTGATTGGGCCATTGAAGCAATGCCAACTTTCATGTTTCTGAGGGAAGGGAAGATTCTGGGTAAGGTTGTGGGAGCAAATAAAGATGAGTTGCAGAACACAATTGCCAAGCATATGAATACAACAACATCAGCATCAACTTCCTAGTCCGAGTTTCCTAGCTTTAGTTTTATATGGTCTTTAACTTGCGAACCGGCTGACTCGAAGTGAGTTAGAATTTGCTTTAGTTATCTTCTCATCATACTGTGATCTGAGTTTTTGTTTGAAACTGCATAACTATGGAATTCAAATGCCATTCTTGCAAGACCATTGGTCAGAATCCTGTCTTCATTTCAATGGAATTCTATACTGATTTACTGATAAGAATGAGAAATTTAGCAGAGAATAACATAGGGATACCAGACATTAAATTGTACACACTTGGCCATTTCATTTGCAACTAAGCAAACAATACAGATATGAAACAGGATGAAAGGGGGTCATACTAGGATCCATTCCTAACATGAACCTACTGGGCTTAATCCTCCCATTCAACACATGTTATCTTTCTCCTCATCACTCAACAATGCAAACACAGCCTATCTATTCCACATTTCCACTTAAAAGGGGAAAGGGAACCAGACTTAGTGGTAATCTGCAATCCTACACAAGACTATGCTGCACTCTCATGAAAGTTTTAATCACTCTACTTCAGAGAGGCCCCCTTCGGCACCTCTAAATAGTATCACCACTCGTTAATCTAACTATACTGCTTCTCCTGTGCTTTGCTCTTTCCCTTTTATGTATGTTTAAACATTCCCCTGGATCCCCTAATCCCACTGGTTAGGGCTGCAGACTGCTTCCACTGTCAAACGCTTCAACACGTTTGGGCATGGATCTCCAAAATTACTATTTGCTATTGCCACTGAGCATCTTTGTCTTCCTATACACTTCTGCAATGATTTCAACATTTATTGTGTAAATGAAACAAGATTCTGGGTGTTCGAGTAATGATGTTGTTTTTAAGGTGAGTGAAACAGAAAAATTTGATACCTTTTCTAAGATTGTGTGTGAGCTAGGAGCATGGCAAGGTCCTTGCTGGAAGTTCCCGCAGGTTCCCAGTGGAGTTCCAAAGCTGGCAAACTTGATTGAGGAAATAGATTGACCGGGGCTGCACCGAAGGTGGAGTTTTGGTTTGTGAAACTCCTCTTTTCTGCCATAGCTATCAGTCTGCAGGTTCTTGATATTTGGATGGAACTCAGCGACGTCTGCACAGACACTGGTTACTGATCTCTTCACAAGAGAAATTCTTGTCGGATCTCCCCCAAGTTCCTCAAAGAGAATCAACAGGTTTTCTGTTGGTTTTAACCAAGATCTAGGCACATGGTACCTTAAATTCACAAGAACAAGATTCAGAAAAACAAAAACAAATACTCCGGTAATCTTTTTGAATGTTGCAGTATATAGTCTCTTCAGGGAATTGGCAGCTCACCATCTCTGAGTTGGCTGTCCACATCCAAGTTGGCACTTTCTGGGCTTATAGCCTCCAGCATAATGGCAACCATTGCAATTTCCAGTGGCATATGCAGTCCAGTATCTACCGATGCTCTGACCATTGATCCATACTTGACCTTTGCCCATGCTCCTCATGTCTAGAGCCAACGGTTCATCTCCATCAGGTGCGTTGAAATATGCCTACAAAATTATCAAGGCTTAGTAACATGCGATGTTTCCATCACTAACACTTTCTTCCCTGATCAATTCTCCTACTCCATACCTTATGCCATGTTAGAGGTTGCTGTTTTTGTGCCATCAATGACCCTTGCATCCATTCAACAGAGGAAAGACCATTGGGGGAAACGAGATTCGTGGCCTCACCCTTAAGCCCGACCTGTTAACAAGGTATTCATGAGAAACAGAAAGTTGACACTGAATATCTGATCATTCAGAAATGGAAGTGCAGGATAAATGCATACCTGGTATGTCCATTTTGCGCGGGACAAGTCCCATTTTCCCTGGTCAAGTCCATGCAGTACAACAGGACCCAAGATTCCTGTGTTCCATGTCTCAAAATGGCCACCTATATTCTTCAAAAACAAACAGAAACAAGAGAAAAATGTCATTGTTTGGAAAAAAGAAAAAAAAAAAAAAAAAATCTCGAAAGGCTGTGGATGGCAGCAGGACTATATGAGTGTGTTGCAGATCTTTGTTTATTGCAGATGATGCAAAAATGGAAGTGTTGGTAAATAGTGAAGGAGGATTCCACTAACTGGGAGTCCAACAGCCACACTGAGCAATGCAATCCTATTTATTCCAGCATTGAGGTTAACTTTTCCATTAAATATGAATCTCCTGTTTTGCCTTGTGCCTGATACAGAACCTGTTTAATGAAATTTTTGTTCCACTATTAACAAGTGCAGACAAGAGTTATTCAATACTCACAACCATTTAGGAGCAGCTTCAAATGAGTACCTGAAAGATGTCCATTGATAAAAACAAGAAGAGCATGGCCTGCTGACTGCACTGTAAGCGTTGGGAGCTCACCACCATGCAAAAAGGACTCAGATGAACCAATGTCGACACTGTTTTGAAGACACAGGGAAAAAGAAATTCCATCATTATACAAGAAAGCTTGGCATTACCGGTTCAGAAGGTTTTACAAGCGACAGAGATACACATTGGTAGCCTTTTAGGTGTCATTCATAACTTACCTAGTTATGTACCACAGATAATCACTAGTATCCCTAGTGACATTGATTTGCTCCAAGAGGCCAAACGTGGTAAACAATGATGATCTGTCACCCAATGCAAATACATCTTCACTGTAAGTCTCCCATGAAAACATCTCTGAATTAGTTGGCAGCATTTCCATTTGTGATGTCTGAACTCCAACCTGCAGAAGGAATTTGAAAGATATTACATTTCCGAGAAGTATATGAAGTTGCTAAGCAACATCTCATGAAGATACGTAGGAGTTTAGTAACAATTGACAAAACAATAGGGTAGTCAGTTAACACACTTTTGCTGTATTGAAGACTACATTCCTGCAGTCAGGAAGGATGCTGATGGACCACGGTGGCAAATTATAGTGCCTGTTGTTAAACATCACTCTCACAGCAGATTGTGTATCGTAGTTTGAGAGAAAAGCTGCACAGCCTCCCATCTCTGAAGAGTATATATATGCCTGGAAGAAAAAAGTTTGAAATTTTTGTGTCAATGTAGGGATGAAATACTGCTGTGAAGTCAAATGATGAAAAGTAGAGGCAAATACCTGTTGAAGGCTTCCTAAAGATGTCACAGTAGGATCTGCTGAAACCAATGCTTTCTCACACAGTTTTACAGCCCTATGAAGCTCCTTCAAATGACCATACTTCGGTTGTCGGATCAGGCCTGCAACACATGCAGAAAATTGTCAAGTGAGAACTTTTCATGCATCTCTACTGATGGCAATGCATAATCGGCATGAACTGGGGTAAATACAAAACTGTCACTCTGCAATAGAAGGCCGTCATCTTCCAATACCAAAGGAGAATATTACATGTATCAGCAATAGTGAAAGGTATATAGTCAATTCTTACCATACTCATCAAGGGGAGCATCATAATCATAGCTTGTAGTGATGAAAGGGCCTCCGGCAGTGCGCCCAAAATTGGTGCCTCCATGGTACTGGTGACACGAGAGACAAGTTACCAAAATGGTCTTCCTTTGAGACATGTTATGTATATTCTTATTTCATCTTTCTTGACAGGAGTTAGAGATGAAGACACTAACCATGTAGTAGTTAACAAATGAACCTCCTTTCTGTATGAACTTAGCTACAGCAAATGCCAAATCTTGAACTGGCCGTTCATGATTTGGACTACCAAATTCTGAAAACCTTGCAGCATCAACAAAGGAAGAGTTATATAGGCCCTAACTTCTTTGATTTAAGGGAAAGCCTACAGCCGCTGCCCGAAGGTGCGTTCAGGGTAAAACCCGCCTTGTGACCCTAGCTGGCAAAGGACTACAAGGAGGTAAACTAGCTTAGGTTGTCCATAAGTGACTGGCTCAAATCAAGAAGCCCAATAGATAGCTCCAACAAAGAGTTGAAGTTTGAATCTTGTGGTCACCAAGTCAACAGTCCGACTAACTTGGCTGGGGGTTGCCCCCATAGGCCCTAACTTCTGATATCATGAAGAATCAGTATAAGTTACAGTACACATACCAACCACTCCAGGCCTCAGTCCAAATTGTGGGCTTGTAAGGTCTGTTGGGGGAGAACTTATCACAGTAGAAACCATTGCATGTGTTAATCTGTCAGAAAAGACAGCCAAAAAACCATACCACATTTAATATGGATAATGTTGTTGCCAAACCTGAGAGTAAGTCAATACTTATACAGCAAGACTTGGTCTGTAAAGAAAAGATTTGCAGTATCTTACCACAGGGTCAGGTGCATCTTCTTCCTTGCACATCACCCATGGGACTCCTGTGTTCGTCTCAAGAGCCATATTCGCCGCCCAATTCGCGTACTGATAGCCAGCATTACCAAGCACCTTGGCTTGGTGACCATATTCATTCTCTATCTGCAATACCACAACATCATATCAGCCACTATTCTCAACAGTTAACTGATGATATAACTTCATCCATGCCACAAAAGGTTGAGACACAGACCTGTGTGAGTATGATTGGGCCACCCTGAGACTCAAACAGATTATGGCTCTTCATCAAGTTCACAATTTTCTCTGTGAACCCTTTCATAGCCATCTGCATGCCATAAAACAACCCCATTCTCATTAACATTCAAAAACAAAGGCTAAAACATTCTTAACAAGTGTTGGGCCTTATTACAATGTCTTACAGAGTTAAGCTGTCGGCAACTAGTAAAAAAGGACAAGAACAAAGATGACTCCAAGTGGGAGCGGCCTATTGGCCTTCTTAGTTCGAGCTGATCAGCTATGATAATCTAGGTTGGTTTTCCTCCTTTGTAGTCATTAGCCAGCAAGGACCATAAGGTGAGGTTTACCCTGTGCACACTCTTGGGTAGTGGCTGTGGGTTTCCCTCGTCACCCTAACAATAAAGAAAAAAAAAAAAAGAAAAAAAAAAAAGACAAGAACAAAGACCTTGAATGGTTCATTATCTGTTCTGAAGCTAATACCAGGAACATACTTCAGCCACACTGGGAACCCACTGGACATGAACATTAAAAGGAGTAAATACTAAATATGCAGACAGAACATAACAATGAAATTTGATTCTGATATCTGCAGAAGAGCAGAGAATTAAAACTTACCCAAAATTCCATTCTCCACAAACATAAGGCCCAATCCGAAGATGGGCAT